AGGATGTTGCCGTAATGGAAGATAGTGAACAGACTTTTGTCAGAAGAGAAAGTTGTAACAATCTGGATTTTTCCACAAGGGAAGTTATTTCTTTCATTCTGATTTACAAAATTTATATGTGTTAAGATTATTTTAAGTGATGAATTCAGGGGGATCTTACAAACATAACTCGGATATTCTAATTTGAAAAATAATGTTTAACAATATAAAATTCATGGGGAACTTACATACCTCACTCTGAATCTTTTTATGTGATTTAAATCGTGTAAATTTGTTCATCAAATACATGGTCTTGTCATCATCAAAAAGGGGGAGATTGTGAGAACAAGTTTTGGTTCTGCATCTGACTTTTAAGTTTTGATGATAAAAATGCGTGCATTGATATGGAATAATTTTGTACATTAATAATTTTTTCTAGTGTGTAGTTTGTGATAAACAGGTTCTGACTCTGAAGCTATGACGTGAGACGTCATCAAATTCTGGAATCAACACACTCTAACTCTAAAGAGATACAAATATTCACAAGAAGCGAACAAGTTAGAAAAAAGCTCGCAGACAACGATTTTGAAGAACGTTCATGCTTAAGCTTTTGACTCTGACTCTGAATGAAGAGACTTTGAAGAATTGACTCCCTTTAGGATTCTAAGCTCATGGTGAAGATTCTGAAGGACGAAGTACTGAAGATTCTAAAGACCAGATTCTGAGAAACAATGTCAAGACTTTGAAGACTGTAGTTTTGAAGACTCTTAACAGGCTCTTGACTCTTATATGCATGCTTCAACAACCTTACTTTCAAAATCCTCTAATAAATAGAAGAAGATGAGATCAAACCGTTACGTGAGATAAATAATATATTGTACCAAATCAAAACATTCCTTCCACTACACGGATTTCATGGAGTAAGACATTTATGTTGTACGATCTTTGTATCCTATAATTGAAGACGGTTATTCAAGATGTCATCTAACGCATGAAGATTCTCATTCTACCCTCCAACGAATCTTTCTTTGGCTATAAAAGGAAGACTTGGAAGAATGGATTAAGTTACCACTTTGCTCAATATTTACACGTTATTCAACGCTTTCAAGATTCTTTATTTCTCTGATACTGTTGTGAATATTGTACAAACACACTTATAACTTTTGTTCATCTATGTGATTGAGTCATTGTAATTAAACTTTGTGTTAATCTTCTTTGTAGAAACAATCTTGTAAAACACAGTTTGTAAATCTCAAATTTGTTTGAGTGATTACCTTCGGTGACTAGAGTTTAGTATGTATACTCGAAAAGACAAGGACAATGGTCTTTGTGGTGTCTAATCTGTTTGATTATAGTAGATTAAGTCTTTTTTGAGAAGGAGAAATCACCTTGACGGGTGGACTATAGGTAGCTTCGTTAACAGCGAACCATGATAAAAATAACTTGTTATTTTTATTATTCTTGTTCTTGTTTGTTGATTTGGTTTGTGAAAAAGCTTTGATTTTTAGAAACTCAATTCAAACTCCCCTTTCTTGTGTTTCTCGTTACCTTCAAGAACATCTATTTTGAAGCCATTGAAGGGAAATCTAAAGCCCATGGTCGAGAAGATACACTCATAGAAAGGAGTGAAACAGTTATCGTACTAGTTACAAATTCTATCATTTTCGTCAGGAGTCAAGACACCTCAATCTGAAGATGAACCAATGCTCAAAAAGGCTCCATCAAGACTACCCTCTCAAGCGAAGATAAAAATGGTTGAAGAAGAAACAAAGTCGATCCAAAAAGTACAAGTTTCTTCTTTCGATTTTTGACTCATGATAAGCACTATTTTCTTAAAGTATAAGAAGAAAAAACATTATAGAAAGGCAGATAAAAGCGATGTGGAAAGAACGTCTCTAAGAGATGTGAAAGTAACTCCTCGAGAATTGTATGGTGACTTACTAGAGGAAGTACCCCCTATCAATGTTTGACATCAGTCTTGCGAAACACTCAAGTATTTAGGTTCCCAAAGGCCATTACGAGAGTACATCTGAAAAGACATCTAAAGAATGTGGCACATTAAAGGCACAAATTCCCAAGAAGCGGTAATGTCTTTTCTTGACTTTCTAGAACAACTAAAAGGATGATCAACACTTGAAGCAAATACGACAAACCCTTGCATTGTCATAAAGAAGCAAGGGTTTAGGGAAACAACTACGGGCTGATGACTCGAATGACCATCGACCAATTATCTGAATTGATCAAATCATATGACAACTATCATAGAAGAGTACATGTGATCTAGAGGCAAAAAACATCCAACGGCTTCCTGCTTCACACGCCTAACAAACAGTAGATTATTACAACCGTTATACTAAAGGATACACATGAAGAACTCTGATACACAATTTCAATTTAAAGTTTCATTCACTCTTCTCCATCACATACTGACTTGAGTATTGAAGTGTTAACCTTGTAGATTAACCTCTTCTCTATCGCATCACAAGTTCAAATCCATCATTATCCATCGCAACCACCAATTTTTCAATCAATTTTAGATTTGAAACGGAACAAAGATATTATATATATATATATATATATATATATATATATATATATATATATATATATATATATATATATATATATATATATATATATATATATATATATATATATATATATATATATATATATATATATATATATATATATATATATATATATATATATATATATATATATATATATATATATAGGGCTGGACAAAGACCCGAAAACCGGTCCAACCCGCATCAACCGATTCTAAAAAAATGAATTGGGCCGGATGCACACGGTTTGGCGGTTTTGCGGGTCCAAAACACGGTTTCGTATGGGCTCTACTGGGCGGGTCCGGTTCAGCAAATTGAAACCGTGGGTAACCATACCCACCCGACTGTAAGTGTTCAACGCAGCGTTTGTATACAACTACTACTCTTCATTCTCATTTCATTTCAATTGAACCCTATCTTTCCAAAACTTTGTTGTTTCTCTTTTCATCAATCTTCACAATACAAACCCTAAATACCAACTTTCCCTTCCATTTTGCGCCTGTATTTTAAACATTTCATGAAGATTCATTCTTCACACAGAGTGAACAGGAAATAGCTTCATGAATCTTCACTACTTGACTGATTTGAACCCTAAAAACGAACCTTTCAATTTGTGCCGCCGTCTCTATTCATTCCATTCTAGTCTTAATATGCTATTCATCTAGTTCATTTGACTATTCTCCATTTTCCAATGTAAGTACAACTTTCGTTTCATTTGCAGTTTTTGCGTTTTTTGTTTTCGTTATGAACTTTACTAGAACGTAAGATTACCCATTTTTTGGGTTTTTGTTTTGAACTTCAGTGAAGAACATAAGATTACCCATTTTTTGTGTTTTCTATTGTAGAGAAAATGATGCTGATGAGTTTAGTTCAATTCTAACTCTGCAACTCAATTTCAAGGAATATACACAACAAACTCAGGCAGCAGTAGCGACATTTGCGGTAATGGCGACCACTTCAACATTGTTTGGTATTGTCTTAAACTATGAGTTTGTTTGAGTTTTGTCTTTGTATTATCATAAATTTTGATTGTGTTTCAGCATAAGATGAATGTTGCAGCTTTGAATTGTTATTTCATCTTAACATCGGTGTGTATTACTTATTCTATCTTGTGTTGAATATTTGTTTCTTTTGCTGGGATTGTATTGACATAGCTTATTAAATAATATTGCAATTCCACCCTGTGTTTCCATGGATGTGTCACAAATACAGGATTGCTACTGTTGTGATGCAGAGCTTGAATGCATTGCATTTTATTTTCTAAATATGTTTATACTTAATAGTGTTATGGTTATGACTATTTCGACTATGTTTGTGACAAGCTTTGTTTTTGTTTCCTGCTGGATTGGTTATATGAGACATTGTAGCTACTGTGTTATCCAACTGAAGTTGTTGCCATTTTTTTGTCAAATCTGTGGCAATTTTGGTGAACCTCAGATTTGTCGTTAATGCTTGTAGTCACCTTTTTCGGTTCGATTTCATGGTGCTTGTTGTTGTTTGTGATTTGATCCCGTAGAACCTATTCAGTTACGTGCATTGCTATTGTATAGGCGGGTGGATTCTATCCAAGGTCATTAAGCTGTAGTTTTAATTTGTTGAGAAAATTGTACAAGTCATGATTCTGTTGCTATTCTTAACATGCTTCCCATGGATTAGAAAAGGTTTGATGTAAAATGGATTATTGGATTTGATACTGGTAACTGTTTCTATCCAAGGAATAATTCCCTCTTATACTTATGATTGTATGTATATTGATATAAAATATTGCAATTTATGATTAACTAAGTCTTAATGAAGAAATGTTTCATACTGCTGCTACAGGTAATACATGTTAATAACAGTTTTGCTTATAAATTGGATTTGAATTTTATGTATGTTTAGAAACAGTTTGGGTTTAGAAATTTAAGAGCTTTGGGTTTAGAAACTAAAGTAGAAACTAAATTATTGCATTAAAAGTGTACTTAGAACTGCAGAATGCAATAAGTTATTGATTTTGTAAGCAAATGTACTTAGAACTTAAGTCATAAGAGTGCAAAAGCTGAACATATCTCACATAAAAACTGCAGAACAACTATTTAAAAGGGAAATGTAATTTAAAAATTATCATTAAAACTACATAACCAAATATTTAGTAATTTAAAGATTATCAAAACTGCATAATTAAATATTTAATAATTTTAAAGATTATCCTTTAAACTACAGAACCTAGTATTATTCTGAAAAGGAAAAGTGGTGTATTCATTATGAGTGCAAACAATTTAATAACATTTATTGAGAATTGCAGAACCTGGATTATCCTTAAAACTAAGCATCTAGTCAATGTCATTAAAACTAAATAAAGAGTGTAATATACCACAACAACCAAAAACTTATTTTCACTAAGCATCTAAACACTTAATGAGTTAATAATGTTGGTTGTGTGTTGATTATAATCTTCATTAATTTTCAGCAATGGAGAATATTACTCAACACCAGCCTTCTACATTAACATCTGGTGTTGTTGCAACTGATGTTGCGGCAACTGAAATTCACGTTGTTGGGCTTCCTCCACTTGGAAAGAAAAGAAAACAAAATGCTAATGGTCCTAGGAAATTGTCTCCTGCATGGGATCACTTTATTAAATTTCCTAATGAAACTGAACCAGTAGTTGCTTGTAAACATTGTCATAAAAAGTATTTGTATGATCCAAAATCCCATGGGACATCTAACATGCTTGCTCACACAAAAATATGCACCAAGAGGCCACAAAATGATCCTACTCAAACTGCCCTTTCCTTTGCTAGTGGAGAGGATGGTGGCTTGGTTGCTACAAGCTAACGATTTAATCTGGAAGCTTGTAGAAAGGCTATTATTCTATTCGTGATCCTAGATGAACATTCTTTTAGAGTAGTTGAAGGGGAGGGATTTAAGTTGCTATGCAAACAATTACAACCCCAATTAACTATTCCATCGAGGAGGACTGTGGCGAGGGACTGTTTTCAACTTTTTGTTGATGAAAAAGTAAGATTGAAAGGTTATTTCAAATCTGATTGCAATAGGGTAGCCTTAACCATTGATTGTTGGACATCCATTCAGAATCTTAGCTAAATGACCCTAACTGCACACTTTATTAACAATGATTGGAAGTATGAAAATAGAATTCTAAGTTTTTGTTTAGTTCCTAATCATAAGGGTGAGACAATTGGTAGGCAAGTTGAAGAGATATTAAGGGAGTGGGGAATAAGGAATGTGTCCACAATCACAGTGGACAATGCAACATCTAATGATGTAGTTGTTGCTTATTTGAAGAAGAGGATTAATAATATGGGTGGTTTAATGAGTGATGGATCTTTCTTTCATCTTCGTTGTTGTGCACACATTCTAAATCTGGTGGTTCGTGATGGTTTAAAACAAAATGAATTATCTATTTGTGCCATTAGAAATGTTGTTAGATTTGTGAGATCATCACCCCAAAGATCATCAAAGTTCAAAGAATGTATTGAGTTTGCTAGAATTAATTGTAAGAAACTTTTATGTCTTGATGTTCCAACAAGGTGGAACTCATGTTATTTGATGTTAGATGCTGCTGAAAAGTATCAAGCAGCATTTGAGAAAATGGAAGGTGAAGATTTTAGCTATTTGGAATTTTTTGGGTTAGTTGGTCCCCCTACTCTTAATGATTGGGATAATGTTAGGTGTCTTGTAAGTTTTTTCAAAATTTTCTATGAAGCTACTATGGAATTTTTTTCGTCAAAACAAGTGTCCCTTCATAAGTCATTCCACCAACTAGCTTTAATCCACTGTGAGCTAAAAAGATCATCCATGAACTTGAACACAATTTTAGCCTCAATGGGATATGAAATGAAGCAGAAGTATGACAAATATTGGGGAGAAATTGAAAATATCAACAAGTTTATTTACTTTGGTGTGGTTTTTGACCCTCGGTACAAGTTAGGATATGTGGAGTGGGGTTTTAATGATATGTATAATGATGAGTCTGTGCCTTTTACTAATCTGATTGATGTGATAAAAAAAGAGTTGTTTAAACTATTCAATTGGTACAAGGGTATACATGACCAACAACATGGTACTAGTCTATTGAGGGTAGTTCACCTGGTGATGGTGTTGTTCCTACTACTGAAATTCCATCTCATAATGCAAGAGTTGAAGCTTTTAAGGAGCACCTAAAACAAAAACATTCAATAGATAAAAAAAATGATCTTAAGAGGTACCTAGATGACAATTGTGTTGATGATGTTAACTTTGACATCCTTATGTGGTGGAAACAAAACTCTTGTAGATACCCTATTTTAGCAAAAATGGTGAAAGATGTTTTAGCTAGTTCTGTGTCAACTGTCGCTTCTGAAAGCACGTTTAGTACTGGGGGCAGAGTTCTAGACACATATAGAAGCTCGTTAAGCCCTGAAATGGTAGAGGCTTTGATTTGTGCACAAAACTGGTTAAAACCTACACTTAGTCAATTCAAGGATCTGAATATAAATGAAGATTTTGATGTGTCTTTCACTACTGTATCAGGTATATAAAATTCTGTATTTAGTCTACTAATATATTGGGTTTGATTTTAATTTAATTGTTTGGTTTTTATTTACTGTTTTGTAGAATTTGGTGGTTCATCTGTTAGTGGATCAACATCTGGTTGTGATTCTAATGTTGTTGGAAGAGGAAAAGAACCAGTTGCTGGTTCATCTCAATCACATACTTAATGGTGGTAGTGGTTTGTGCATTTTTCATTTTATTTACTGCTTTACTTATATCTATGTTTATGAAATGTATTAATATATTTTTTGTTTCATTTCAGTTTGTTTTTTGGAGTCATTTGTGTAAATGACCTTATTTTGGGCTATTGATTATTATGGATAATCAACTTTTATATATATATATATATATATATATATATATATATATATATATATATATATATATATATATATATATATATATATATATATATATATATATATATATCTATATATATATATATTATATATATATATATATATATATATATATATATATATATATATATATATATATATATATATATATCAACAAATATTTGTGAAAATGACCTCAACAATTCACTTTTTTAGTGATGATAGATCAACCAATATCATCACATGATAGGTATTTGTTCCACTAAAAATATATTGCATTTTGTAAACTTCTATTTGACATATTGAAAATCATATTATGTTTAATATTAAATGACACTTTTCAAATGATTCTTTGCTTCTACAATGCTTGGCTTTTGTTCCTTAATTCTTGCAGACGTCTAACTGGTGCTGCTGTATCGTGCAACTTGTTTTGGTGGTCCTATTTCGTTCTCGTGGCATCTGCAGCAGCAAAATCTAGTTGTTTTTTGCTTCAATGGATTTCTGAGTGTTGGAGAGTGGAGGGTTGCATATGCATTGCCAGGTTTGTGATAGTTTGGTTGTCTCTATATGTGCATATCTTATGCAGAATTGATACTCACAATTCACAAAATGTTTGCAGGTACTTGCATGAAAATAAGCTGACTGGTTTCATTCTTCCAGAGCTTGAAAATATGTTAAAGCTTCATGTCTTGTAAGATGCTTAAGCTAGAAGTTAAATTTATGAAGTGATGAAATTTATGAAGTTGAATTTGAATTTAGTATCACCTATTAGAAAAATTATATCATATTAGTTTAAAAACAAGTCACTGTTATTGTTTAGTTATAGTCCTGATATTGTTCAGTTATAGTCCTGATATTAGTTTAAAAACATGTACTGACATTGGAATTGAACTTTTCTTCATTGCAAGGATAGGATGCAAAAGCATGGCCTATGTTAGTGTATGACTTTTGCAGTGAAGGTTAGGATGCAAAAGCATGGCCTATGTTAGTGTATGACGCTATAAATACAAGTGAATAAGTTTTCATTTCAATTCCAATTTTCTCACCCTATATTTTTGGTACGCTATCTTTCTTTTCATTTCAATTTCAATGTTTTTATTATTCTCTTTTTCAAGTGGTGAGTAACCTTCAAGCTCAGATTAATTGCATGCAATTCTCAACTCAATTGTTTCTTTTTGTTACTTATTAATGCAACTACTCTGTTTTTTATTCTTGCTATTTTTAGATTGAACCCCAGGTGTTTGATTTTACTTCACTGAAAGATTTGTTGTTGTTTTTTTGCTGCAGAAAGAGAAAAGCCAAGAGAGTATGGTTGTCCCAGGTTCTTCTGGTTCTGGGCAGTCACAATTCATTTCCAGCACTGGAAATCGAAGCCTTTCCAATGCTCCGCTTATTGACACAACAAATACTGACCAAATTATTGTTCCTGATGTGAGTTTGTTTTTTCTCTTGTCATTCAATCACTCAAGCTTTGAATGTAGAGTACACTGCAGGAATACACATACTTCATCCAATGTCAGGAGTTGTTTATTTGATAACCATCATTGATTTGTGTTTTCTAATTTGCAGAGAACAAGCTGGAAAAATTTATTTGCATACATGGGCCCAGGGTTTCTTGTTTCCATTGCTTATATAGACCCTGGAAACTGTAAGATAACCTCACACTTTTCATTGCAAGGTATAGTTCTGAAACTTTTTAGTGGTTGCTTTGCTATTATAAAGCTCCTATAGTTGAATAATAAGTCAATATCGGGTGCAGAATTGTATTATGTCTTGTATGTTATGGCTACATTGTGAAATGTGAATCTACATTTAAACTCAATGGTGTTGTTGCTGCATGTGGTTGACATACTTATCTATCTTTTAAATACATCTTGCCAAAATACCTTTATATCGACACTTATATCAGTATAGTAAAAAATGGTGCAGTAAAGCTTTTTGACAGCATCGAGACATATGGTATGTGAAGTCGTTTTCTTTTAAGTCATTCTAAGTGACCTTGCTTGACCTTGCATGAATTTATTAGCCATAATGTCATGTATGTTGCATTTTAATTCATCACACTTTGTTTCTTATTTGGTTTATTTTGGGAGGAGGAGGGCTTAAAAGTTAATCAAGTTCCAATCACCTCCTTAAGATCTAAGGTGATAGTGTGGGACTGTAGGTACAAGCTTCCCTAAAGGAAACTACTAGGTTTGATGGTTTCTCTCGGATTAACTGCATCTGTCAGTTGCATGTAATGTAACAGGACCTTATTATTATTGATAAACATATGCCATATTTTAAGAATTAAGTATCCTTGTATGCTTTTGGTAAGAAACTCTACCATCTACAAACTGTGATGCACATTATATATATGACAGAAGAATAATCCTGGTACTTTCCTAAGTAGACAACATTGTCATACCAAATATTAAGAAGGGCATACAACTCATTTCTCTTTTGGTCATCACCTGTTTTGGTCTCGGCTGCTACAAATGGAGCGTGTTATTTTCTTAACGTTCCTTTTCATCACCTGTGGCACTTAGTTTTTGAAATCTTGAATTTCTTTTGTGAAGGTTTTTGAAAGGAGCTTCCAACAATGATCAAGCAGGGAAGTCACAATTACTCTGAGAGTGATGATACAATGCTGGTGATTTAGTTTAGTTTTCATGAGTATGTTGAAGATATATTAGCTTATAATGAATTTGTAATATAATGTATCACTTTATTACTTGAATGATGGTGGAATTGTAATATAATGTTAATACTTTATCACTTGGATTATGATAGAAATATAATATAATTAAAATAGTTTATGATCTCTTAATTATTTTAAGTATATTGAATGAAATTTAATGAGTATTAATTTGATGAGTGTTGCAGGAATGATAGAATTCATGTTAGAATTTATTGGTCCAAACCGATTCAACCCAACCGAATAAACCGTTTAAACCGATAATCCGCCAACCGATAAAACTGAACTCAGTCTTGGGTGAAATTGGGTTCAACTTTTTCAACCGTGGATTAGTTCGGGTTAACTATTCTGAACCCGAACCCACCCATAACCGACCGCCGTCCACCCCTATATATATATATATATATATATATATATATATATATATATATATATATATATATATATATATATATATATATATATATATATATATATATATATATATATATATATATATATATATATATATATATATATATATATATATATATATATATATATATAATCCTAAATGTTTGCAAGAAAATCTTTGTAGCTCCCATTAAATGAGTTGATAGTATTAGGTGGCATTATAAACAAATATATATACACGGAAAAAGCTCTTTGAATTGTCTTGATTCCGTTCTTCTTAATAAGATACAAGCCACCATTATGAAGTGAAAAATACATTTTATTAAAGTATATGATATATACACATTTAAAAAATAAAATAAATAATAAATCTTATAAAAGAGAAAGGGAAGCATTTGATATAAGGGAGTGATTTGAAATTTTCCGTGAAAGTGGAAATTTGTGTGTTGACGTCATCAGCACATCATCACTGACACTTTATACACAGAAGTGATCACTGTTGAAATATTAAACTTGATTTGGGCCTAAAATATCATTTGGATTTTTGGGCTTAGTTGTTTTGGACTTAGGTAATTTTAATAAATGTTTCTAGAAAACTCTTGTAATGTTTGGAGTGTCTAGATATTTCTTAAGGTTGTAGTATTCTCTAGAATACTCTTGGAATTCCTAGAGTTGAGAACTCTCTAGAATTAGTGTGTCTAGAGTTCTCCTTAGAGTACTATAAATAGAGATGTAATTCTACACTTTTGCATCAAGCAAAATACAAAGTTCTCTCTTCCATAAATAATTCTTCCACCTACCAAGTTTCTCTTTAAGCCTCTAATATTCCCACACATTTTTTCTAAACACAAAAGGTCTTATTTCCAACAAAGTGGCATCAGAGCTTGAAGGTCCTCAAAAGATGGCGAATGGAGGTTTTCCTTTTCAAATGCCGATACTCACAAAGAACAACTATGACAATTGGAGTATCAAGATGAAGGCACTACTAGGAGCTCAAGATGTGTGGGATATTGTTGAGAAAGGCTTCAAGGAGCAAGATGAAGCCTCCTTAAGCCAAGGTGTAAAGGATACATTAAAGGAGTCAAGAAAGAGAGACAAGAAAGCTCTCTTCCTCATTTATCAATCGGTGGATGAAGATACATTTGAGAAGATCTCCAATGCAACGACGGCGAAAGAAGCATGGGACAAGCTTCAAACTTGCAACAAAGGAGTGGAGCAGGTGAAAAAGATTCGTCTTCAAACTCTTAGAGGTGAGTTTGAACGTTTATTTATGGAAGAGTCTGAGTTAATTTCTGATTATTTTTCTCGAGTATTGTCCGTAGTCAATCAACTTAAAAGAAATGGTGAAGATGTTGATGATGTGAAAGTCATGGAGAAAATACTTCGCACTTTAAATCCAAGTTTTGACTTCATTGTTACCAACATTGAAGAAAATAAGGATTTAAACACCATGACTATTGAGCAACTTATGGGTTCCTTACAAGCATACGAAGAAAAACAAAAGAGAAAAATCAAACAAAAGGAAAATATGGAGCAACTACTACAACTCAATGCAAAAGAAGCAAACTATGCAAATTACAACAGTCAAAGAGGACGAGGTCGTGGCCAAGGTCGTGGACGTGGCCGTGGACGAGGACATGAAGGAGAAAGAAGAGGTAGTTACAACAACTACTCCAACAACTTCAACAATGGAGAAAGAAGTTGGAATCCACAAGCAACAAGAGGTCGTGGAAATGGAAATTCATGGTCAAGATGCAAC